CTAAAGAGCCTGTATCCCTGCATTCCAATGCTCCAGTCCTAGGATCCATCCCATCACGTCTCCATAACACTAGAAAGATCATATGGGATGCCTCAGACTGCCTGCATAAGACCTTACATAGGCATGTACTGAATTGGTCCTATGGCAGTGTTCTGTATCCCAGTTGAGACACTGGTGATCCTGATGACTTATGTGTTGCATAAATTCATGACAGCCTGGGACAAGCAGGTATTTTAGATCTCTGAACATTCATGGGTCTTGTTGAGGATTATAACTGTTCTTACATAGCTTATTTTAGTTTGAGGTGGGGCTTTGCTTCTGTTCTTAGCTAGGGACCAGCTTCAGTTCTTCTAGGGAAACAAAGTATAGGCAGATTGTAGTCTGGACCATAAGATTAAAAGACAAACAGAATAATTGCATCCTGCTTTACTGGTATAGTGGACTGGACTCCCATGTTCATCCCATGGTCATCCCTTTAGCTTACCTTGATACACTGATGGCTAACACCGCTATGGAACCTGCAGCAGCAGGGCTGGTGGTAATGCTCTGAAGAATCTTAGGGTATACCTGGTAAAGCAAGCTGTCTTACTGCCTCTGCTAAGTACAGCTCTTTGTACTTAATGTTCACTTAGAAAGTAGAGCTACATGGAAAAATAATGAAAATACTGAATGTATTTCTGAAAATATTCAGAAAATTTTGAATTTCTTATATTTGAGATTAAAACCTAAGTAACAAGGAAAGCAGAAAGTTGTTTATTTTAACTGGAGAAGTGCATAAGTTTATTAGGACTAAAAGCAACTTTTTTTTTAAATCCAACTAAAATTATTGATATAAATAGGCTGTAATAGGCTATACTAGATACAACGTAAGTGGGAGTTAAGGGCAGAATGTTACAGAGACAGAAAGCTGGAGAAATGAAGACAACTAGTTCTTCAAATATATTAAATGCAAGAACGCTACACGTTGCTCTCTTTGGTGTATTGATTCTTATACTTGATCTTGCATTGACTGAACTGAACGCAAACACTTTTAACACAGAAACAGTATTTTACAGTTGAAGGCATATCCTCAAATAGACAGGTTCTGCACAAAAGCAGGACTGCATGTAAACTGGACTTAAAACCAGAGAGTTCTAAAAAAGAACAAAGTCCCTGGTACATATTTTGACTTTATCTACAGTGGCTAAATATCTCAGTGTTTTCTATAAGTGTGCAAAATGGTGCATGCAATACCACATCAGCTATGAGATTAAGAGCAGCAGGAAAGTGCCACTTCATTGCATATGCCTAGTCATGGTTATTTTGTACAGGGCATGTACCAACATGTAATAGAAATCTTTGTCAAAAGTCACTGTTCTACTTTGAGTAGGAGGCAGAGAGAGTAAAAAAGGGTAAATTCAGATGGCTTATTGGGACACTTGTTCAGAAGGGAGGCAACCTTTGTGAAATAGATTCTTCAACTTGCTACCTCTTCAGGTGGGGGAAATCATCACAGTGGCTTCTGAAAACTTTGCTTAACTCCAGTGGATTTTTTCATGCTGTTAAGGACTCTTAACAGTATGCCGAGACTGAGTTCAGTTTAGGTACAATGAAATATTTGCCTATCTAAAAACCAGTAGACTTGCACAATCAAATAGATAAATTGTTCTAAATGGAAATTATTCTATGGAGATCAATACTATCATGATATGAAGAAGATATTCAAATGGAAAACTCTCCTCAACTATGTTGTGCTTTGCACTTAGCACCTTCCTTCTCAGGAACTCAAAGCTCTTATTAAGCTAATACTAGTGAATTTAGCCTCACAACATACAGTGAGGTAGGTAAGTTTACCCCCATTTCACAGATGGGAAAACTGAGTCAGAATTCTGAAGTGACTTGCCCAAGGTCCTGCAACTTGTCAGTGGCAAAACCAGGAATATATTTTCAGATGTCCAGATCCCAGACCTCTATCCGATTAAAGTCCCTCCCTACTACCATAACACAAGCAATGCATGCTTCCACAGAGGAAGTGAATGATTTTTCCTGATTGAATTCCCGCTTTCTTTGGCAAAAAGCACCTGGTTCTGTCAAAGTGCTGTATTATGCTCTTGGCAGAGGCATTTCTTCTGAGGCACAATAGAAAAAAGATGTTTTCCCCATGGTGGGGAGACTGTACAGGTCCAAACAAAGTAGAGTCTTATTTTTTGCAGAAGACCTGCTGCTTGGCATTTTTCACACGTTGTTCCTCCTTCAGGTTCTTCTGCCGCGCATGTTTGCTGGAGATGAGTTCCACATGTTCTGAGGGGAACCAGCCTCTCTCCCGGTCTGAAAGTTTTACTCCTTCCATCCATCCTGCGGTGTGGGAAAAAGCACAACATGAGGCAAAATAGTCAAACATTTTTTTTAATTCTTTCCAAAAAGTCCTCTTCAACAAGGCTCTAAGATCAAGGAAGAAGGTCCCTTTCAATTTCCAAATAAAGTGTCTTCATGAAGATGACGAGTCTCTTCATCCTCTCAATCCAACAATCAGGAAGGAGAGGCTCCTTCTGAAGCCTAATTGTGTTGTTAAAGCCTTACACTACTACAAGTAACTTCCTACCCATAATTTAAGATTAGCTGTTGTTCATTCTGCTCACCATCATTGCTGTACTGCATAACCATGACGATATCCGCTTTCTCCAAAGCCAGCTCATCATTTTCCCGAGCCTTGTAAGTCTTTATGCATTGAACCTGTGGTGCATCTAAAGGGGAGGAAAGATCAAAATGGTATACAAGAAAGAAACAGTAGACATGTGTGAATCAGCCCCAGAAGAGGTAGAGGATAAGGGACTGCCCAAACACCACAGAGCAGGGAACTGGAAGGGACACTACACGTCTTCTACCTCATATGAGGACGAAAAATTGATAAAATAAGTGGCAGAACTTGGCACTGAGGGAAAGCCCATTAATATCTTGTTTATTTACGAAAAGGCAAGTATTCTGGCCTTGAAGTAATTCCAACTCCTCTGAGCCAGCCCACCCCCATTGCTGTAGTAGCAGATCAGTCTCACCAGGGCATTCCAGGAGGTCCAGTTCTCCTCGTGGAGGAGCCAAAGCAGAGATCCACCGTAGCTTCTCACTGCTGGAAAACATCACCAGATAGGTGTCAGGATTCAATGTGAGGTACAGCAGTCCGATGACAGGAATGGGGGGGTGTGTGTGTGTGTGTACAGGTTTGCTCACAGGAGGGGCCAGGGAGGGATACTTAGGGGAAGAAGAGAAAGTGGAGGTGGATAAAGGGGATGGGAAACAGCAAAAACTCCCATTTTTGGAGGTTGATGGTGTGACATAACATCGTAGTATTGTATGTGTGGGATTGGCTCCCAGGCAAGGGTAAATCCATCACAGCAGCTGTGATGAGAGAGGAGCAAGGTGGTTCATTAGGAGCTTATTATGGCAAGAGGATGTTTTTCAAATCCTCTGCTCAGCAGCTGCATTTCATATTTCAGCATTTGGGTAGCTGAGGCACAACCATCAGGCTCCTAGGAGGTGTGTGGCTATGGTAATGGGGTATATTGAGGGTAACCTGAAGCTCTTACTGTGTCTCTGTACGGAACAAAAACTCCACTCGCTTTCCCTGGTAATTCTGAAGTAGAAAGAGACGGAAAACATTTTTGTTTGTTCCATGGAGTTTCATCTCGCACTTCTCCCCACGCACATCTGAGAAACTGGCATGATCAAATACAACAAAACGTCCACCTCTGCAGGTAAAGAGGAGGGACAAAACAAGTTGTGAGTTTTAAGGTGATGAGGGTTACAAAGTGAGTCCATGTAGTTTTCTGATGACAGGAAAGCAAAGAACTTTTAATGAGTCTTCATCTGCTTCAGGCACCTTAAGTTTTGTTCTTGCTAGAAGGCTCAAAAGGCCAGAGGAGAGAGAGGGGACTTAATGAAAAGGGTGAAAATACTAAGCTCTGTCCTGTCAGAATTTTATTTGATGGCTTACAGCTTAAAAAAAGACCATCCCCCCCAAAAAAACCCCAACATGACAAACCAACAACTCTCTTAGTTTCTTGACAAAAAAAAATGGTGATTTGCACATTCACTAATCTTCATACAATCCTTTAGAAAGAAATTAATTACCAAGTAAAACTAGAACAAATGGTTATTATTAAAGTGTTTCACATTATAGAGATGGAGAGGCAGAATAGAAGTGTTGCACTAGGGACCAGAAGGTACCTTGTTATAGATGTTGTAATTAAGAGTGGGGAATATCAGATTCCACATACTGGGGTGATACTCACATAATGTAGGGTTAGGAGAGTGACTTGACAGATGCTGCCACTTGCTGGCAAGCAGAGGGAAAGGACTCTTTCACCAAAGCACAGACCCAGAAAGAGACAGGTTTTTTAGAAGGGGCAGCAAGAATTGTGTTGGATAACTCACTCCTTCGGCCGAGACAGGAGCAGACAGTCATTGAAAAGATGTAGGTAGATGGGACGGGTGGTGACTTTCCATTTTGGACTTAGAGTGTTGAAGTCCAGTGCTGTCAACTCACCACACTTCACAAGTCTCCTTGACTGTGAGATGAGTGGGAATATCTGCAAGACAGAAATGAACATTTATGCCAAGTGTGTGCAAGGAAATCTGTATCCATGCATTTTGGATTTGCATTTTTGCCTTTCTCTAGAGGAAGTATGCTTTCATATCTCCAGATGGACAGGAGTAAGTCATGGCAGGCACCTTCAGCTGAAGGCTGATATGACCAATTGGGCAAGGGAAGTACTGATGAAGAGCTGACCCGTGTATGATATTCTGGTTCAACAGTTCTGTGCATATTGGAGAGGAGAACAAGAAGCAAGTGCTAGTGACTTTGTGAGGAAAGAGAGAAAATACACTAGGCTAGAGCAAGGCCCAGTGAATGGACAATCTCACCTTGCACTCAAATTCAATCTTCTGGCTGAGGTAGATCAGCTCTTCAGTGCTCTTCATGCGCTGGACATTTTCATTGCAATCTTTGATGAGCTGCAGAGGAAAAGAGACCATCAGTGAGGGTGAAGCAGAACTGCTTGGTGGGATCAGTGCTACTCCCAGGAGCCCCTCAAGAGTCAGTGTGACAATTCCATAGGCATCATCCTGCAAAACAGTATATCTCCAAGGTGTCCTGGGTCCAGCTGGGATA